AAGGAACATATGAACGAAGGCCATAACAGAAGACAGGCTTCAGTCCCAGACAAAGCTAATGGAAAAATTTATCTCTAATCCGAAAAGCTTATTCCGCTATGCAGCCTCTCTTTGTCAAGCCAGAACTGGAGTTTCCCAATAGCTAGGTCTTTACGGCCCGAACACCGACGACGTCGACGCCGCTAAACGTTTGGCTGAACATTACTCTCGAACATTTCAACCGACCCATATAAACTATACTGACGAAAGCTTAAACTGCAACTCAAAAAGACTTTCCGAAGTAAACCCGAGCGCTGACTTGGTGTTCCGGAAACTGCAGCACTTAAGAATTGACACTTCTCCTGCTCCGGATATGGTTCATTCTGCCATACTGAGGGCGGCAGCCTCAATCCTGGCAACGCCGCTTAGTGTGATGTTTTCACACACGCTAAGCCAAGGCAAACTACCGGAAAATTGGAAGTTGGCTCACATCACATCAATTTTCAAAGGGAATCGACGCAGCGGAACTTCAAGTTAGCGACCGGTGGCTATTCTGTCATTACCTTCAAAACTCGTGGAGTCCCTGACATGCGATGGTTTAAACGACTATTTACTGTCCTTAAATTTCTTCTCACCCCAACAGCATGGTTTCAGGAAGGGTTATTCTTGAATAACCAACCTGCTGACTGCGGTGGACAGATGGACAAGCATCCTCAAACGCAAGGGGAAGGTTGATATCATATACCTTGATTTCTCAAAAGCTTTTGATAAAGTTAACCACTTGTGTCTTATCAATAAGCTCAAATGACTAGGTATCAAACCATCTCAAATCGATTGGCTCACTTCATACCTAGAAAATCGACACTTTAAGGTTAGGGTTAACTTCACTTTATCTCAGGCTATGGAATGTACTAGTGGGGTCTTCCAGGGCTCAGTATTAGGGCCTCTTCTCTTCTTGATCTACATAAACGATCTTCCTCAACTGGTAACGTCGGACTTATTACTTTTTGCCGACGACGTGAAACTTTGGAGAGAGATACGCAACCAAGACGATACACAGGCACATCAGGAGGATCTGATTCGACTTCAAAGTTGGGCAGACGATAATGGACTTACCTATAACACTTCAAAGTGCAAATTGGTCCTAACTCTGACAAAAATGCCTTCTGAGCAAACCTTGCACTGGTAAAGTTGTAGCTCATTTTTGGACAGTTCGATGTAAGAACTTTCCTTATAATCTTCAATAGTTTTATCCGTCCCCATTTAGAGTACGGAAACATTGTATTTCCTGCCTCACTCCAAAAGAATAAGGTCATTCTGGAGCGTATCCAACGACGAGCCACGAAATCAGTTCGAGAACTCAAATTCAAACTTTATATATATATATATATATATTTTAAACAACGCGGTAGTAGAATCGTATATCATTCATCGAAACAATTATCATCGTCTTTTTTAACAAGTGATACAGCAAACCAACAGATATTGAGTAAAAATGTGGTTACAAATAAAGTGTGACAAATTAGAGAAAAAATGTGGTTTTTATTTTAATTGTTACAAAAATCATTGAATATATGTCACCATATAACTCCCCTCCTAGGGCATGCGTCAGTGGAAGTATGCCCGACGTAAAACTCTAAATGCTTTGGAGGGAGGAGAAAATTACACAACGAAAAGGGTAGACAAATGTTATTTAAAAAAGAAATTATACGTGTATACATATTTAAGAACAAAAATGTTTCTCTTGTAGTAAAGAGATTTTAATGTATATAAAAGGTTTAGCAACAATAACGTAGTGTATAATAATAATAATATCATCAGTAATAACGGTAATTAAATTTAGAGTTCACCGAAAAGTGTAAATACATGTATAAATTGTATAAACAATTAGTGATAAACTAAACGAGTCCAACGAAATTGTATATATTTGCACAATTAATAATAAACATCATATGAAACGCATACACATGTAGAGAAAAACATAATGAATTTATCAAAATTAGTAGTACATAAGAATTTTTTTAGAAAAAAATGCTTGCATAAAAAATGTTATTAGTAACTCTGCTAATATGGATATTCAATCACATTACAGGTAATGACAGAATAAACATTAAGTAATTAATTCAATATAACGTTTAGGAAAATGTACATGTCTTCCTGAACGAGTTGTTTTTGTAGACGGTAAAGTGTCGGAACTAGGATTTAAGTTTGTGGGAACTGTAACTTTAGAACCGTTTGTTTTACGAAATATTGACTTCGTAGAAGTTGATGAAGAATCATTTGGAAACACTGGAAGCTGCGTTGTGTGATTGCCGCTGTCTTTAGACGGCTTTCGGCTATCATGTGTTTCAGATTCTATAAAAGCAGGTTCTATCCTGTCGATTGAAACTGTTTCTTTTTTTCCGTTCTTATTGATTGTGAAATATTTTGTTTGCCTCTCAACTACTTCATATGGTCCTTCATAAGGATGTTGTAGAGGACGTCTAACGGAGTCAACACGAACAAATACAAATTTACACGTATCTAGATGCTTGCTAACTTGCTCTTTTAAGACAACTGGCCGAGGTGCAACAGGCTTAATGTTATTCACATGGCTCTGGTACTGGTAAAGTTGTAGCTCATTTTTGGACAGTTCGATGTAAGAACTTTCCTTATAATCTTCAATAGTTTTATCCGTCCCCATTTAGAGTACGGAAACATTGTATTTCCTGCCTCACTCCAAAAGAATAAGGTCATTCTGGAGCGTATCCAACGACGAGCCACGAAATCAGTTCGAGAACTCAAATTCAAACTTTATATATATATATATATATATTTTAAACAACGCGGTAGTAGAATCGTATATCATTCATCGAAACAATTATCATCGTCTTTTTTAACAAGTGATACAGCAAACCAACAGATATTGAGTAAAAATGTGGTTACAAATAAAGTGTGACAAATTAGAGAAAAAATGTGGTTTTTATTTTAATTGTTACAAAAATCATTGAATATATGTCACCATATAACTCCCCTCCTAGGGCATGCGTCAGTGGAAGTATGCCCGACGTAAAACTCTAAATGCTTTGGAGGGAGGAGAAAATTACACAACGAAAAGGGTAGACAAATGTTATTTAAAAAGAAATTATACGTGTATACATATTTAAGAACAAAAATGTTTCTCTTGTAGTAAAGAGATTTTAATGTATATAAAAGGTTTAGCAACAATAACGTAGTGTATAATAATAATAATATCATCAGTAATAACGGTAATTAAATTTAGAGTTCACCGAAAAGTGTAAATACATGTATAAATTGTATAAACAATTAGTGATAAACTAAACGAGTCCAACGAAATTGTATATATTTGCACAATTAATAATAAACATCATATGAAACGCATACACATGTAGAGAAAAACATAATGAATTTATCAAAATTAGTAGTACATAAGAATTTTTTTAGAAAAAAATGCTTGCATAAAAAATGTTATTAGTAACTCTGCTAATATGGATATTCAATCACATTACAGGTAATGACAGAATAAACATTAAGTAATTAATTCAACATAACGTTTAGGAAAATGTACATGTCTTCCTGAACGAGTTGTTTTTGTAGAAGGTAAAGTGTCGGAACTAGGATTTAAATTTGTGGGAACTGTAACCTTAGAACCGTTTGTTTTACGAAATATTGACTTCGTAGAAGTTGATGAAGAATCATTTGGAAACACTGGAAGCTGCGTTGTGTGATTGCCGCTGTCTTTAGACGGCTTTCGGCTATCATGTGTTTCAGATTCTATAAAAGCAGGTTTTATCCTGTCGATTGAAACTGTTTCTTTTTTTCCGTTCTTATTGATTGTGAAATATTTTGTTTGCCTCTCAACTACTTCATATGGTCCTTCATAAGGATGTTGTAGAGGACGTCTAACGGAGTCAACACGAACAAATACAAATTTACACGTATCTAGATGCTTGCTAACTTGCTCTTTTAAGACAACTGGCCGAGGTGCAACAGGCTTAATGTTATTCACATGGCTCTGGTACTGGTAAAGTTGTAGCTCATTTTTGGACAGTTCGATGTAAGAACTTTCCTTATAATCTTCAATAGTTTTATCCGTCCCCATTTAGAGTACGGAAACATTGTATTTCCTGCCTCACTCCAAAAGAATAAGGTCATTCTGGAGCGTATCCAACGACGAGCCACGAAATCAGTTCGAGAACTCAAATTCAAACTTTATGAAGAGCTCCTTCAATCAATTAACCGTTACCCATTAGTGTATAGGCGTCTTAGAGGTTACCTTCTAATGGCTTACCGTATCCTTAACACTTCTGGACGTCTTCTTTAACACCTACCTAAGCTTAGTTCCAACACTGACCTAAGGGGTAACACCCAGCAATTGGAGATACAACATAGCAGAACGGACTGTAGACACAACTTCTACTCCTTAAGAGTTGTCAAGTGCTGTAATTCGCTGCCGGCCGAGCTAGTCCAAGAAACTTCTCAGGAGTCTTTCAAGAAGCAACTTGACCTATTCTTAAGGACCAAGGACAGTATCATACTATGATTTACCAATTTCTTTTCCTCTTTTATTGATAACATGCCTAGGTCCCTGCCTGGAGGATTTGGTGATACCCTGCTACTAGACACGGAAGTCTGTTAAGCGAAAGCTTCTATTCCGTTCATAACCATTTGAACCATTTGACGTTCCTCAAGGTCGTCAAAAAAGGAGGTAAGTTCAGTCATAAGTTGTGCGGTGATTTGGCCTTTTTGCTTTATCTTTTGATTTATAAGATTGTCTTAGTCATAGGGTTGTGTTGTTTCTGTTCATTGTCGGTCTCTTTCACTGTTAAGTGTGCGCTTATTGTGTCGTTGACTCACCTTATTTTATGTTCCTTTTTCTAGCACTCCAAGCTATTGTGCGTGTTCTTCTTGTACACAAAGTACCTTCTGGCCTGACACAAACCACAACAACTGACTCCTTTCCCTTGTTCAGGGTTCGTCTGACTCTATAACAATACAAATTACTGCCAACAAAACTACACATGTTCAAAAAGTGAGATCGAGTTATTATTAATCGTCTTTGTAGGTTTGACGAAAAGGAGGACATTTCCTGTACAAATAATGCTAAGAACTCCATCGTGAAATCTTTACGCACTCGACTGACTGAAGGTTATGGCATTGATAGTAAAATGGTTGATCAGATTTTACCCAAGAAAGATGTTGTAAAACACATAAAGTGGTAAGGTGCTGGGGTTTAATATTAAACAAATTAAGTCATGAACATGTCGACTTGTATTCAGATTCTGACGGTGAAGTCATGTTTTTCCGACAACGTGAGGGTCCGTTTATTCCATCGCTGAGATTGCTTCATAAATGTAAGTAGTTTCTGGTTTTGATCGTCTACCTAATATTTGATGATGAATCACATTTGTGAGTGCTTTAGCTGATTTATAACTTTACCGCATAGATTCTAATGGTTATTTTTCGCAAAAGTTGTAAGTCAGAAATTTCAGTGTGACCGTATACATAACAACTAACAATATTTAAGTTAGAGCTACACATATAAGCGAACAATTGTTTTCAATTAGATCGTCATCAAGCTTTACTCTAATATATATGAATATTTATACGAAAATGTTAAACCAATCAAGGCAATATGGGTCAATAATCACAACGAAATGGAATAGGTCACTACACATAATAAGTAAAAATACAAGTTGATAGTAGGAAGACAAGTGTACTGATAGTAGTAAGAATAATAAAATGCCATAACAAAAGTCTTATCAATACTTAAATGTTGGAAATAAAAGGTCAAAAATGGGTAAATGGACTCCGAATAGTCAACACAAAACATTAATACTATTACGTAATAAGAAGTGTGTAAATAATTAGATAGTGAAGAATGCAAACGGGAAGAGGCGGAAAATTACAAAAAAATACTAGCTATAAATATAAGGCTAGTGATAACGAAAATAGAATAAAATGAATAAATAGTAACTTTAAAAAAATCGTTAGTTAAGTTATAACTAGCCATGGGAGGGATAGGGGGGTTACGAATTTCTTCTGTACACATAAATTGAAGTTATATTTACAAATTCTTACGGCTTCAGCTATATATAAGAGGTGGGAACGAACTCCGTTGGGAAATAATGGAGGTATACGATAGATCCCTCAAAATGATTTCGATTTATCTACAGCATGACTGCTATCAATGAGATGTGCCAAGATAGAACTGCGAATTGTTTTTATCTGGCTTTTTATAATACTTAAGTTCTCCCATTCACTGGAATTACTGCAAGTTATAACGTAATCGCTTCCGACATTTGGAAATATGCAGTCAGTTATTTGTGAGAGTTTTTAACACTCAATGATATTGTGATAATTACCGACAGATGCATATTTGGCCCAGGAAACCACATTTGTCTGTTTGTATTCACAATTATCATAACTGACGTTTGGTGATTTCATATAGTTTAATGCGTCTTAACTGACACATCAACCTAAGTTTCAGTGTATTTGTCTAAGCATCCTACATGAAAATAAGATGTCAAGTCCTGTGCGTTTCACATATCACCAACTCCACTTTCTCTATTTTTGATTAACTTCATCATAGACCTATTGATGGAAATAACATTCTCGTCGACTGAATTCTCGGGTATTGATCTCCTTCCAGGAGGTCCACTTATCAGCTTAGAATACGCAGATGATATAGCCCTGTTTGGTAAAGACGCTGATGAAATGCAGTCTTTAGGTAGTACTAAGCAACAATGCTAGAATGTTTGGAATGCGCTTCTCTCCATCTAAATTCAAGCTGCTGCTTCAGGGCTGGTCTGCGTCAACACCTGGACTAAGGATAAGGAGTGAAATAGTCGAACGCATTGACAACTTCACTTGTCTTGGAAGTCTGATCAGCCCTAATGGGCTGGTGTCTGACGGAATATCAGCAGGATTCAGAAAGCTCATTTGGCTTTTGCCAACTTACGTCACCTGTGGCGAAGGCGACATATCCGTCTATCAATAAAAGGACGAGTATACTGCTCGACAGTTCGTTCTGTTCTACTTTACAGCTGCGAAACGTGGCCACCAAGAGTAGAAGACACTAGTATTTGACCACAGATGTCTTGGAAATATAGCTCGCATCTGCTGGGATCATCGGGTAAGTAATAGTGAGGTTAGACGCAAGGTATTAGGGAATGATGGTAAATCAGTTGATGAGGTTGTAAATCTTCATCAACTGAGATGGTTGGGCTACGTGCCATATATGCCTGAATACCGATTACCACGACGCGCAATGTGTTGGGGATAGTTGAAAGAATGTTAGGGGTGGCCAAACCAAAACGTGGCATCAGTCCTCGAAGTCACCAACTACTTATGTGAGCCATGTTGATAGATGCTGACTACTTGGTTGGAGTTCGTGTGACTATGGTAACCAATGGTTGGAGACTCTGGGTGATATGGCTCGGAATCGATCACAATGGCGTAGGTGTATACACTCTTTGCCATCCCTTAAACCGTGAGATTGAAATTGCTTTATATCTTTCTTTATACGAACTAATTCTTTCTTCCTGTACTATATCCTTTTTACAATCTTTCTTGTATATATTACCACCTCTGAATTAACCAATTTTATGAATCCGGCTTTCATCTTGTTGTGTTAATGAGGTATGACAACTTGGACCGATGCATATATGTTCCTGGTCCCACGTTGTAGCTGACTGACTGACTGACATATTACCAAACCATGACGACTGTTAAATAGTCTCCAAAACTCTCAACTTATATCAAGCCATATGTCTGTCAAATACACTTTATTATGCATTGATCTTTGGAGGAAGTTGGTCCGATTTTTTTAAACCTACACAAAACTTTATTAACTTGTTCAGATCCTTTCATCCTACCTCATTTACAAGTTGACAAAGGTGCTATCAAGCATGTTTTAAATGGGTCAAATATTATGTGTCGTGGTTTGACATCACCCGGTGCTCGGATGACAGAAGTTCCTAAGGAGTCAGTTGTTGCTGTAATGGCAGAAGGCAAAACAAATGCACTCGCAGTTGGTATTACTATGTTATCTACTGATGAGATGTGAGTTTTCGAAAATCTTTATTTATGTGGAAAATATTTTGAATTTACTTTACAAGTATTTTTAAAAATCTTTGATTCTTACCAAGGTACTGAAGATGAATAACTGGTTGATCTTGATTGTCTGAATTGCTACATTTGAAACTTAGTGTATTACTGGTAGGAAAAAAACCTGATTTGTTGTTTGGTAACATTTTACTTTGTGCTATTTTATTTCAGCACTTTAATGAGAAAAACAATGTTCATGTAAACAAATTGCTAAAATTAATTTCCAGTAATATAAAAGGAATTCGGAGGCTTTTGTTTTCAATGTACTTTTTATACAGAAATATATCGAAAAATGCTAGCGGTCTTATTCGGATGTAGATTTTCAAGAGCAAGTACTCTGTAGAATTCTGTGTTCTTGATGGACTATATCTCTTGATACTTGTGTAGTAGTTGCACTGCAAAATGAAACTGCTTTTTGGGCTGTACAGAACCTGTATGATATCCGACGATTCTGTAAATCAGTATGAAGATTAATTATTTACCTTCAGGGTATATATATATCATTGGGTGTGAAGAAGTAGCTTAATGGATAAATCTCTTAGTTTCCAAACAAAACCGCTCCACACCCACTTCGCTGTGAAAATAGGAGTTCTTTCACTTATCCTCACTCAAATAGTGTAGCCGAAGTCTGAGTACATTAACCTTTGCTCGTTAGTTAAGTTACGTTTACACGTATTATCCGAAATATCTCTCGTTGGTTTTTGGTCTGCTTCGTATTTATCTTAGTGTTATAGGACACCATGAGCTAACTTTGAAGTCCTGTTTCTTAACAAACAGGTTTAAATTTACACCTTTTATTTCTCTGAAAAGCATCTAGATTAATCTGATATAACTATAGACAGTTGTGGTTCTATGTAATAGTGATTCTACTAAAAATCAATCCAGTTTCTGTGTAACTAAAAGCTCTAGCGTTACGTTTTATTTGAAATTATGGTCGGAATCATTTGTATTGACGAAATGAAGCTATATAATTAAAACGATTGTTCATTGAAGTTAAGTGGATAATCTGAATAATCATAAAACCATAAATGCCAACGTTAGCCGTAGAGAAATGTTTTGTTATTCACTGTAGTTAGGTCAGCTTATTACGACGATATTTGTAATGGGGTACCACAAAAGACGTTATACAAAGTACAGTCAAAACATTCGAGAAATGGAAGAAGACAAACTATTTTGTAAAAGATAAAAATAAACAAGAAAGGGGTTTCAAAAGGAACAGTCCAAGTAAAAACACACTTTAGATGTGTTTCGCTCAGTTATGATTTATATCTTATTATTTATGAAAAACAAAAATATACAAAGGCTTCCTCACTGACCTATGTCCTAAACGATGTTTGATAAACCAATAAACTGTTCTATTTATTAACATATTATCCAGGAATTCATAGTAATCCATTACCTGAAGCTGATCACTATCAATTGAATAAGATAATCAAACTCTAAATTACACCGCTCCAGTTCATGGAGTCAATTGCTATTTTCTCAGGTCGACTAGTTCCAACCCAATTATATATATAGGCTCAAATGGCAGATGAACTTATTCTAATCAACGGCTACAACGGGACTCCGTTTTGTGATCTTGCTCCGCTGTCAAATAGACTAGATCTGTTGGCCAAAGACTTGGGGGTTGGTTCTCTGAGAAGGCCACCTGGTTCGGTTTGAACACCCAGACAGCGTCCTGGTTCACACAAATATAATAATGATGCTTAGTTTTTTAGAAAATGTTCTTGGTCTGTTTCACCATGTTTGTAAATCATACTTAAAAAACCAGTGTACATTTTATATATTCCAATATCTCTGTTAACTTCCTAAATATTCTAATTCGTAAGTTGACACTTAGATTGTGTGTATGTTTGATACATACATACATTGTTCATGTTTTGCAAGGTTTGCTTTGGACATCGAAGTTTGGTTAAAATATAAGCCTAGTCTGTTCCAAACATAGTCAAGTATCAATTTCGAGAATAAAGAAAAGCATTGTGTAGTTCAGTAACCAACTTAGTGATTGACGCAAACACACCTTACTCCTATCAAAGATTGTCAAGGAAGTTCGGCATTGGACAGGAGCCCCTGCAACTCATGCCTGTAATCTGATCATGCGCTACTGCAAGCCGTTATTTGCCTATTTTTTAGTGAATATATAGGAATCATATCTGAAAATACTTGTCAAGTATTAGCTTCAGGGTGAAAATATCTAGAATGTTTGAGGAAGAATTAGATAATCGCTTGCCTAACCATGAAGGAGATGCTTGTCTTGAAGTAATCTGGGGATTTTGAGCAATAAAAAAATAAAGGGACCAAAAAAGAAAAACAGGATACTATAGTTCACGATAATGTAGTCTCGCAGAAGATATTAGAGGTTAAAAATAGCTTACAATTTAGGTGTGTGGTGCTTATGCGGGCAGACAAGTAGTATGTAGCAGGAATCGGAATGTTTACCGGCAGAAGATTGAAATGCAGACGAAGGAAAACAGCATTCGGGATAACAACAGGATTGAAAGAATGATGGAGTATTGAAAGAACAACTCAATGAAGATGTGCAAATGATGTATTCAATGTATGATTTTTATATTTTACAAAGTCAGCGTCTGATTTTGCGTAAAACAGCAAATTACTTTTCCTCACCATGTCTTCGTTTACTACAGTAGAATTAGTCAGTGATACTATTGCATTTCGTTCTCAATTGTCCCTCAATTCAGCCAACGTTTTTAATACTTTCGTACTGCCTGTTGTGTATTATGTTTAGCTCCACTGTAACCGATTATTTCCACTCTTTTTTCATTGAAGTAATATCCTCTGTTTTAGTGCTGATATAAGTTGTGACAACTTGGAAAAACACTTTTTGTGCCAGGTCTTACTATGTCTATGATGGACTCATTGTGTTCTAATTTAGACCACGTTTTTTAATACTTTCTTCTCCTTTAGTCTTATTAATAATTTTTTATTCTACGATTTCTACCTTCTGCTTCTCTGCAACGATATTATTTCTTTTTTTTGTGATGAGTTTCTTAACGATTAATGTAAAAATTCTCTTTCTTGCAACTGAATGTAACTAAACTTTATTAGCGATTTGGTGGTGACAATATGAACACACTTATGTATTGTGGGAACATTGCTTTAGAATAAAGTATAATTCTCAATATACTTTTTTGATTGATCAAAATATTCTGTAAAGTTTATTGCGTTTTATAGATAGTTTCAGTCGTTGATTGACATCAGTACGTCGTAAATTTTAGTTGTATGTTGATAATAAAGTTAAAGAGGTACTGCAAATACGAAATCAGATTTAATTTGACCAGGTATATCGAGCAAGTAATATACAATTCAACAATAAAAGCCAGATCCAGGAGAAAAGGCTGCATCTTTGCTAGAGAAATTTCATGTTTTTAGAAAAAACTAAAATGAAAGTAAACATAGCTTATACATAGTATTTTACAAGGTCGAGTGACTACTATAGAGAGGTATCAATTACCTGGTATTAAACAGGTTGTAAACATAAGAATAACTATTGTTATTGTAAACACAACACAATCACCACCTACGAATCAAGCTAATGTTCACAAATGTCTAAATGAAACTATAAATCTGTATTCACCAGCGTCTAATTGTGGAATGTATTCTCATTCTTAATCATGGAGTTCAGCCATTTCAAGAGAAAATTAATTACCCACCGAGAACTATTTCAAAATATCTCTAATAGATTAAAGTAAAATGGATTCAAATTCTGATTTATGAGTAGCACTATGTAAGATATGGTAGTGTCAGTTCAGTTGTTTAAATTGTGTCCATTACTTAGGAGTCCTATATGTAGGTAATACAGTTAAGTCCCTTATAGTTTTCAATCGTAACCTAACTGTTGTCGATCCGTGACGAAACTTGCATGCAGGTCAAACTAATGTCAGTACTTATGATTTTTAGCTCCAAAGGCAGTTGTGCTATTTTTCGCCATATTTTCGGTAATTTCATTGTGTATTGAGATGGAAGCTTTACACCTATCAATTAGTATTGTTAATAAGGTTTTATTTGATAATTTGGAATAAAATGAGTATCAGGTGGATTGTTAATAATAAAATGATATATTTGTTGTATCTCGATGACTAGAAAATTAAATTTCTGACGTTTCGTGACTCAGTGTGAGTCACTTAGTCAGAAAAAATATGAATAAACAAATATACTTGGCACAAGCTTAAGTAGTATAAAGAAAAGCAACAAAAATATTTAGTACAACCAAAAAGACAGGTCTAATTTATTGTTTACAGTTGTCAGTATTCTTGACTTTACTCCTGCTAGTTTTTTTAAGATCGTAAGCTTAAATCGGGTTTTGGGTTACACATTTTCTTTTAGAATCAAGACTTTCAATTTTATATCACATTACAATGAGATGTTTCTACTGAACTTACAATTCATTGGTTAACCTTTTGGAATGGAATTTTTGTTTTTATTTGGTCGTAATGTTGAAAAGTTTTCCTACATAAATTAAATTGCATGTTTAAAATGTTTAGTTGTAAATTAATTTACTTAAATTATAAAGGCTAAGTAAACTAACTGTATTCCTAAAATAGTTTTAATATTTGCTATTCTACTATTGTTCTCTTCTTTCTATTCCAATAGCTTATCAACCAACAATGGCATTGGGGTCAAAAATGTACATTATTTGAATGATGGATTATGGCGTCTCAAAGGCGTACGATAGTTGACTTGGTTAAAAGAACTCTGGGTACATTCTTATTTGTACATATACCTTGTTATCACTCCCTCGAATGATTTGTAATGTACTTGCAGAAGTGATAATATATGAGTTTATAAATAAACTTTTGGTGTGAAATCTTTTGTCCTTTTATTGATTGATTTCAAAATTATTTGCTGTTTATTTTAATATTTATATTTGTTTTGATCTCACATGTCATAACGACAAATTATAACACTTTGTCTACTTTTTGGGTGCTCTTATCATGTCTAACTGCGTTACAGTTTTCGTCCTGTTTTCACTTCAAACAGCACTGCTCATTGAACTAAATAACGATTGAGTTACAAATATTACATCCCAACCACTTCTAAATTTCTAGCATAACATTTATCCTATTTTATTTCCTTTTTTGATTTCATCTAGGTTTGTTAGGGTTTACTGGCTGTTTAGTTCCGACTAGTGTTTTATCCTAAGATATACTTTTCTGGGTTACCATCTATAATTCTCTAAAATAACTTATCCGTTAGGATCCTTTGCAGCTTCTGAAAAAGCAACGACGTCAGTGTCTGCTATTTTATGAACTGTAGCCAAATTGTAGCAAATGAAGATTACTCAGACTGAATCTGCCAGTGCTTCAACTGCCATCTTGTGATCAGATCTCTAACCTATATCGCTAAATATAAGTGACTCTGACTAAAATATTCCGTATTTTTTACACCTTAATCTATTCGATGTTCCCAACTGCTTGTTGTGTTTTTGTCTTTTCATTTTCATGTTTAAAACAGCATGAATAAATCCTGTTTATACGTTAAAATGTTGCAACGGCCTTTCCTAACATTTATTTTGATGTATTTCTCAATGCCGGTTTAACTCGGGAAGCTTAGTGCTAATGTCCCGATAAATAGACCACCGTATTAAAATGCTTTGAAGCCATTACTTGAGGTTGTGATTTATTGATCTTGAGACAAGGTTTCCAATCACATCGCCACATTTCGCTTTTTATCCAGGTATATCAAATGTATCATTTAGTGTTAGATCAGGTTTGAGAAATCGCACCTTGAAATTGAAGGTCTTAAATTATTTAGAATTGAAGGTTTCGAATTTTAAATAATTCAAAACCAGTTTTTGATTCAATCTACCTTGAATATTCATTCTAAAAATGTACCCTTAATAATGTCATAGAGCGAGCATATCTTTTATCTTTTCCGTGCAGTGAGCTCTACAACTTCTTGAGCTCCTTATCACGACAGCTGTTCATTGTATGGTACTTACTTCTGTCGACTTTTAACTAAGGATTTATGCAAGGAGGTTGACACAAAGTTGTTATTACTTAAGCGTTGTTTATCTTTGATATTGCGTTGACTTTTATCTATTTTAACCATCGTGTAAGAATACTCTGTAAGCACTAGAAGATGGCATTTTCAAAAATTCGGTCATATATGTCAATCACCTGCAAATCACACTACGTAGAATTGGTTTTTATTTTGTTAACAGTATTTTTAAAAAACCTTAATTGTTGTTTAAGCTGTTCAAAATCCTCTTGAAAAATTATTATTTTCCCATAAGTACGGAGCTAACACTAAAATTACTCACATAAAGGTCGTGTGTGACCGACTTCAGTCAGTTGTACCTTGGGCACTGCGGTCAGGTTCTCGAGTCACTAAGACCACCCCTAACCCAATTTTCTTTTCAGGTAACTCCAGAAGAACCCTTCCACAATGTGGGCAACTGGGAAGTGATAACTGCTCCCATACCTCAGACAGCACCCAAGATCACTGTATTCACATTCAGTCTCCGTCTTCAATTCCTATTATTTCTCCTATGTCATCTTTCAACTCTAAACTTGCTCTTTTGACTTCCTCCGCAAGTGTCACCGTGGCCAACGTTTCTAGTGCGTGAAACACTGTCCCAGGTCTACTGAAACCTCGCTCCAAACTACACATTGGAGTCTTCAGTGTACGTACTCTATGTCAAATCGGTCAAGTTGATGTAGTTATCTGATACACCTTTCAGTGAGACAAAACCATAGAACCTCATGATCAACGGGGTTGGATATCGCCTTGTGGTCAACGAATACAACTATACTCGGACATCAGAAAGTACGTCTATGTTCCAGAATCTGCCGAAGGGTGAATATTTGATCTGTACATCCACCCTCAGGTCTGAAACCAGCCTAATTTCCTCGGGTTTGCTCTACATGAGCTATAGTTAGACGTCGAAGTATTATCGAGGCTAACATTTTAGACACTAGATTAGTTAAACTGTCTCCTCACAAGGGGATTTTTATCCCTTCTCCTAGACTGGGATGCTCAGTGATCAAGACCTGCCAGATGAAATTACATCCAGATCCGAGATTGTAGCTCGGATTTAGTTAGCGTAACTGCCAAAACTGCACCACCATACCTAACAATCTCAGGGGTTAGTCCATCGTTCGATTTATGTATGTTGTATCTCGGAAAAACGCGTACAGGATCCTAGTGTTGTCATTCACTTGACCTCACCTCGCCAAAACGGAGAGCCGACGAGATACGCTTTCCATCTATCTGGCGACCCGATGGCTAGTTCTCGTGGACTGGCAGGTGTAGGCATAGGACTGAGTATGAGGGCAGAACAAGCACTATTAGAATGGGTCTCCGTTAACAGTCGCCTATATGCTGTTCGGATAAACGGCTCCGTAAGGACTCGGAAGTATAGGAACACACGTCGTTACCTTTTGGTCGTTTCTGCCTACGCTCCCACGGACTGCAGCTCGGATAAAGTCAAAGATGATTTTTACAGAAAGCTTTCTGAACTTCTTCATAAAGCTACTCGATCAGACACAGTACTCGTAGCAGGTGACTTTAGTGCGAAGGTAGGTAGCTTAAACGAAAACAGCAGCGACATCCATTAGTGATCTAAACCAAAGGGTTACGAAGAACAAATGGATTTCTACTAGCTCTTTTGCACTGTTAGATTCTCGTAAACTCATCCCATCAAGCTCTGAACATGATGAAGAGTGAAAACAAATCAGATCTAAGTTAACCAAGAATTTAAGGAACAACCGTGAGCAGTGGTGGGTAACGAAAGCAAAAGAGATAGAAAAGGCAGCGGCTGTAGGTAACACCAGACAGCTTTTCAGACTAATAAATTCAACTGGAATTAAGAAGTGATGTGTGAGACGATCGCAGAAAAAGACAACACTCTTATCCGCTCTCAGCCCAGACATTTAGAACGATGAGCGGAACAGTTTAAGGAGCAGTTCATCTGACCTTCAGCTACTCTACAACTACCCACCGTTCCCAGACAGCCTGAATGGAACATTGAAGTAGTCCAAAAATCTATAGCTAATCTGAAACTAGGAAGAGCAGCTGGTTCAGATGGATTGGCTCCAGATGTCTTTAATTATGGTGGTCTAATTTTAGCGATTAGGTTGACTAATATTTTAGGTGGAATCTGGAAACTGAATGTAAACCCATCTGACTGGTCTCAATCACTGATTGTTCGAATATATGAGAAGGGGTCAAAATAATCCTGTGATAACCATAGAGGAATTAGTTTGACTAATATAGCATCTGAAATACTAGCCTCAATGATTATTGGGTACCTGACAAAGACTCGTGAACTGTAAACACGAGAAAATCAGTCTGGCTTTGAGCCTCGTCACGGCTGCATCGACTACATATTCACCATTCGTCAGATTTTAGAATACAGGCATGCTTATCGGCGTCCGACAATGGTGGTCTTTCTTGACTTAAACTCAGCATTCGACAGTGTTGTCATTGAAGGATCTACCTTGGAAGTATATAAATTTTATGAAGTCTCTTTAATCAATCAATACCATCTGAGTCGGAGTTATGGTGAACGACGAAGCTGTTCACTATCTCAAGTTTTGTTCAACTTCGTCATAGACATACTGATGGAAATAATATTCTTGTCGACTGAATTTTCAGGTATTGATCTCCTTCCAGGAAGTCCACTTATCAGCTTAGAATACGCAGATGATATAGCCCTGTTTGGTGAAGACGCTGATGAAATGCAGTCTTTTGGTAGTACTAAGCAACAATGCCAGAATGTTTGGAATGCGCTTCTCTCCCTCTAAATGCAAGTTGTTGCTTCAGGGCTGGTCTGCGTCAACACCTGAACTAAGGATAAGGAGTGAAATAGTCGAACGCATTGACAACACTTATCTTGGAAGTCTGATCAGCCCTAATGGGCTGGTGTCTGACGAAATATCAGCACGGATTCAGAAAGCTCATTTGGCTTTTGCCATCTTGCGCTACCTATGGCGAAGGCGACATATCCGTCTATCAATAAAAGGACGAGTATACTGCTCGACAGTTCGTTCTGTTCTACTTTACAGCTGCGAAACGTGGCCACCAAGAGTAGAAGACACTAGTATTTGACCACAGATGTCTTGGAAATATAGCTCGCATCTGCTGGGATCATCGGGTAAGTAATAGTGAGGTTAGACGCAAGGTATTAGGGAATGATGGTAAATCAGTTGATGAGGTTGTAAATCTTCATCAACTGAGATGGTTGGGCCACGTGCCACATATGCCTGGATACCGATTACCACGACGCGCAATGTGTTGGGGATGGTTGAAAGAATGTTAGGGGTGGCCAAACCAAAACGTGGCATCAGTCCTCGAAGTCACCAACTACTTATGTGAGCCATGTTGATAGATGCTGACTACTTGGTTGGAGTTCGTGTGACTATGGTAACCAATGGTTGGAGACTGGGTGACATGGCTCGGAATCGATCACAATTGCGTAGGTGTATACACTCTTTGTCTTCCCTTAAACCGTGAGATTGAAATTGCTTCATATCTTTCTTTATACGAACTAATTCTTTCTTCCTGTTCTATATCCTTGTACATAGTCCATTCTTTTATGCATTACTACCATTGGTGTGACTACTATGAATTTTTGTTCACCATGTTGTGTTAATGATGTATTTGCGTTGTCCTACGTTTTAACTGATTGACTTATTCTTGAGAGGATTGTTCAAGTCTTCACTACTGGATAACTGGTAGAGTTAAATCATTCATTGTTATTTGTGTTCAGTTTATATGGAAAGTATGCCTATGGCATTCATAACCGTCTGATTGGTTTATTTGTAATTTGTATAACTATTTAGTAATAATTTTAAGCAGTCGATCTTTTATACATCAGTGTTCTGTTTTCAGTCAATCACTTGTTATCACTCAAGAAACTTACTATACTGTGTTGTGCTAAATTTAAATTTTCATGCCTTTTGTACTTCTTTGATACACTAAGTCTCAAGTTAGCTTGTTTTAATCAAAGCATAAGACAATTAAAACAATCTTTACATCTTCCTTCGAATTGTTGACTTCGTTTTCCCTATATTTTCATCTATTCATGTATGTTACAGCAAGCGTTCCTATTTACTGCTAGATTTATTTGCTATTAGTAACTGTGCTTGCTTAAGTTTCGAATTTTGGGTAATATTATATAGGGACTACAATTGGGAATACGTCTAATAAGTATGGTGCTTGTTAAAGTAAATGTATTCCATTCTGAATATAAATGTTATCATACTAGTCAGTTGATGGCAATCAGTAATTCATCTTAGTATTCGTCATCATGGTTAACGATATCCACCAGCATGGATTGTCATAAAAAGAGCCATCTTTAGACTTACAAATTCCGTGGTTAACATAGGATGGATAACTGTAGTCTATAATTAGTGACTATAGGTGACATTGGCTTAAAATCGGTTATTTTGCGGTCGATGCATTTATTTTAAAACATTCTCTGAATCTTGTTATTTTATACTGGTTATTTCCCGATCTTATGCCTTGCTGACTGTACTTTGTATATTTATTTCTCTACCAAAATTAATATTATTAACTGGTTGACTGTCTCTGATTTTGTTTAAACTAAAGCTTATTTAATGACCAACATATCAGTTAGTACCCTTCAGACATTCAATTTTTATTAAGTATCATAAAATTAATTGATAGATTTTTACCATTGAGGGTAGATAGTTTAAAACTTAGTACTACTCATGTACCACGTTTTACATACAATCACTAGAAAGGTTAGTTGGTTTAGTTCTTATGCAGTAAACATTTAAGTAGTAATAAATATCATAGTATACGTAACAAATTAAATGTTTCCTTAAGTTATATACACAAATATGTTTGAGAAACGTTTTATTTATCTTGTCCATAGGTAGACATCTGTGTATATGCATTTCAAAGGTAGAATAGCAGTAATAATCTGTATAGAACAGCAAGTGAGTAAACGTTTTTGCAATTAAGCATCCTGAATAGGTATCCATTTCAGCCGAAATCCCTTTTCAATAGTTAATTCACCTCTGTGAATCTTACCTTAAATAAGAATGAGAGAATTTCATGTATTAAATCAATCTACGCACAAAATTTTATTAGAAATTGACTGCACTTTTGAAGTATTACTTTCTCGAGAAATGGTTGGGATCAAAAGTTATGAATGCTAAGATGACACTAGAAATAGAGTATAAAATATTAAAATAATTTTAAGTTTTAAATTTCCTCAGATTATTTCGAGTTTTATAAATGTCAGAGGTTTTTGTAGTTTTTCAAATAATCGTACTAGCTTAATGTTAACTGGATATATGTATAGTTTGAGTCTCAGTACTTGAGATTATGGAGATTTGTAGCTCGAGTGGATGATTTTTGTTGAGTTTCGAGGTGTCACTTGTATTGTAGTTTAATCCTTTTCGGAGTAAGTGTTCTATGTTTGTCAGTGGTTGCTACGACAGCTTGACCGCCTATTTGTGTTTTCTTCCGTGGATGGTTATGAAATATCGATTAGTTTTTTCTTAAGGGTATTTCGTCATTGCTCTCTGTGTTGTCTGCATGATATCTCTATGGCTGTTGTCGAGATTGCCAAATATTCTGACGTAAGTATCCTCTCTAGCTTCCTCTTTTGTTATCCATGATGTGTTGGTATTTGTGGATTCTGTATTGTGCATCAGTTATCATTATGTGTGCCATTTTTCTTCCACTTTGTTCAGCTATTCTCCATCCCATTGGGTAGTTGATTGGAGGTCTTTATCTTACACTTGTTAGCAGTATATACTGACGAAAACACTCGTAGAGAAAATAAAGTTATTCTCAAGTGGATCGATTTCCAATTTATCGACCAATCAGAAAAATTATGGACAAATATGGGATCGAGAATTAAATCAGTGGGAGATACAATCAAAATAAACAATGACAGGTTAGAGATTGAGGTCTACATGACAAGCTGTGAGCTATATATGTGGAGAACTTCGACCACTTCACTTCTACTTGAAGTTTGTACTGATGATGTCTTTCAGAAGAAGATTCAAAAGCTCCACGACTGAACCATCCAGCTCAGGAGAAAAAACTCACTAGAGTCTTTGTGTTATGATCACTACCCGCTATAATGGATGTAACTTCACTCATCAGTCAGCTACAATGCAGGACCAAGCACATATATGCATCGGTCCAAGTTGCCACACCTCATTAGCACTGATCTCGAGTGCTGTTAGAGGTATGAGATCAGTTATCACTTCCCGGTTGCCCACATTGTGGAAGGGTTCTTCTGGAGGTACCTGAAAAGGAAATTGGGTTAGAGGTGGTCTTAGTAACCTGAGAGCCTGACCGCAGTGCCCAAGGTACAACTGATTGAGGTCGGTCACACACGAACTTAATTGAGTAATTTTCGTGTTAGCTCCGTATTTATGGGACATTACCGCCGGAGACGGAGGCAAGTTGTGCATTTTCAGGGTTAACCTTTTCTAACTCCATCCTTTCTTTGTGGGAAGGCAGTTTGTTGTCTGAAGGAAATACCTTACTGCCATCACACTTCTGTACAGTCAGAAGTATGACTTCGCATTCGGACTTTGGGTTAGCTGATTTTAGTTTTACCGCTCTTCAACCGACCTGTCCGGTATGGTAGGACCTTGAGGAACTATTGTTCCATGCAATGTAGCTTGATTGGTTCATTACGACAGCCAAGCCCGACCACCATATCAAGGTAGCAGCAACGGTCAGGAACTTCATTCATCAAATGAGACCTCTGTCTTTCTGTTATCTTAATCAGCAATTCTTAAGAATTCAGTCTGTTTTCCTTTCGTAAACAATTACGAGGACAATATGTTGTATTTTTTTACGCAGATTTTTGCCAATCATTCAGATTATTTTTTTGTTTGTTTTTATTTCAGCTTCACTGTCGAAAATACAAAGGGAAAACATGCGTTTTTATAGCATTGTGTTTTTTTGCAGCATTCCTATATTTCACTAAACATTATATCGTCAGTGATGTAATAATAAGGATATCCGGTTGGAAGTGGGGTCCAGTTGATAGTCAGAATTGTCCAGTATTTGATCACTCTAAAGAAGATCCTACCATTAATCGTATGGCAGTTTTAGTACCGTTTAGAGACCGTTTCACTGAATTGCAAGAATTCATACCTCATTTAAACAACTTCCTCAATAATCAAAACGTTCGCCATACATTTTTTATCATTAATCAAGTGGATGATCTTCGGTGAGCTGAATTTCGAAACATCTTATGTCTAAATAATATATGATTATTTGTTATATATATATATATATATATATATATATATATATATATATATATATATATATATATATATATATATATATATAAATTGAAGTTAGTTGTGGCCACGCTGTGACGTGGCACCAGTCCACGAATTCATTGACTGTTTATTTATGCCATGTAACTAAATGTGAGCTCCCTGGTTCGGATCTATGTGATAATCTCAGTCAATAGTTAGTGACATTTATCAGAACCGTTCGAAATGGTGCCCATGCATTCTCCAAGTCTTCGGATTCAATATGAATTCATTCATACATTTTCACTCAGTGGATACAAGGTCCTTATGGAACTGGAAAGAACTAGAAATGATTTCTCAGGATAGAGTTAGACGGAGAATGCTAATGAGCGGCCCATGCTCTTTCATGGGTGGTAACTGGCGTAATTATGTTTTCACTCGGTGTTTTTTTTACCATATTCTCAATGTTCATTCTTACTCATAATTATTGCTACCATATTACTTCGATTTCTTTGCTATTCATCTTGTTAACTTTGTATTTTCGTACTGTTGTTTGTCAACTTGCAATATAACACATTTTTTCGGGCTCGACGTTTGTTGTGCCTGGCGTACATTATATACGCTAGCAAGGCCATATAAGATATAGTATTATAAATAGTCTTAATAATTTATTTCAGGTTTAATAGAGGAGCTTTGTTAAATGTAGGAGCACTTGAGTCACTTGAAGCTGAAGTTAATGGAACTATTGTTGAAAGTATTACTCAAAAAAATTCATTGTATCAGTTATCTTCACAATGTTTAAAACTTCCTTTTACAAAATATTTGGCTTTACATGATGTTGACTTACTACCTGAAGATCCGGCATTAAAATATAGTATGCCATCGGAATTAGGACCGATTCATCTTATTCCATTTTATTTTCATCCACGTTATTATTATTTTAAAGAATATGCCGGTGGTGTTTTAATCATTAAAAGAACTCAATACAGTTTAGTTGGTGGTATGTCAAACTCATTTTGGGGATGGGGACGAGAGGATGATGAATTTCAGATACGTTTAAAATCGAAAGGATTTAAGGTAATAATAATCAGAATTCATATTGATATTAATTCACATATGAATTTCTTTTCTGGTTGAAATAAAACAGTTCTTTTACTTTTGTTTTTGTTTTCAGTTAATGTTAGTAAATTCGACTTTGCAGATTAGTCAACAAACTCTATTTGGTATAGTATTTTATTGAGGTTTCACATTTATTAGAAAGCTTTTTTCGGAACAAATAATTTAATGATACTAGTATTCACATATAATTCAGCCGTCCTCCATGCACAAATTTGCAGTGTAGTCCATCGTATGACTTTCGGATGATGTTGGCGACTTTCCCAAGTACACCATGGTGTTGAAGGTTCCATATCGTTATATTCACGTTGTCAAATGCTTTCTCATAGTCAATGAAGTTGATGTATAGTGACGAATTTCATTCCATTGATCAGTAGTGTCACTGATTTTACTGTGCATGATCGGTCCCCACGGTATCCATCCTGTTGTTCTCAATTTTAGGCGTTTACTGAATCCTTCATCCGGTTCAACAACACTGCTGAACACTTTTCCAAGTACTGATAGTCTTGTGACGAGCAGTGTCCGGAATCTGATACTGATGCACGGTTTGCTACATGCTAACCTCCCAAATGAATACTTGAGCGGGAAATTGTATATATATATATATATACCATTCTAATCTTTAGGAAATCGATCCATTTCATAGCCAATGAAATGCGCCTAAAATTTAGATCACTTCTAATTGCCATCAATTAACCTTATCATTAGACTTATTGTTATTTAGACACAAATATTGGTACAAGGAGGTACCAAATAGATATGCTCCACATAAGTCGTCCGATTTGTGTGATACTGCCCGGGTGCCTAAACCGAAACAAGTGGTTTTTTTCGAGAGGCATACCCCTAGCCTTCGACCTAAAAGTCTAATCCGCAAGGCGGTGGAGCAACGTAAAAAGATGCGGTCCCATGGTAGCCGGTGACCAACAATTGCTTCTTATGTCGTTTGTTTCCTTAGGATCCTGGAGCCCATGTGCACCATTGGTTTGGAAACAGGTTTTTCGAAATCCCCATCGTGGATCCTCCATATCCACCGAAAATTCTTTTTCGCCCTTTCAATTTCGTAAACAACACCCCTGCCGCGAGAAGGCAGTGGGTAGGACTTTCCTGGCAGTGGTTGTATGCACGTGGTTATGTGAGAAAATTTCGAGAGTGAGAGATGACTCTCCTCACCCTCCGCCGTACCATGGCAGATAGTAGTGTGATGTCTCCGTAGTTCTCACATTTTCTCAAATCTCCTTTCTTTAGTATCTTGATGAGATATCCTTCTTCCCAGTCTGTTGGGACTTGTCTTTCCTCTCAAATCTTACTGAACGGTGTGTGAGGCATGTTTGCAGTTGCTTCCGTGTGTGACTCCAGTGCTTTGGCTGGTATGTTGTCAGGTCCAGCTGTTTTCCTACTCTTGATCTGCCTGATGACCATCCTGATTTACTCGATCGTTGGTGTGGTGACATCTATAGATGGATCTGTGTTTGTTGTTTCGATGTTCGGTGGGTTTCCCCAGTTGTCCAGTTTTTCTTTAGCTTCAGTTTTATCTTGGCAAGCACCAGCTCGTGGTGATCTAAAGCTGTTTCAGCTCATCTCCTGGTTCTCACGCCTTCCATCGATCATTGACCTTCTGAATTATTTAGTAATGCAAATATGATCGATCTGGTTCTGTGTAATGTGATTCGGTGAAACCCGTGTAGCATTGTGTGTATGTGTTTGTGTGGGAATATTGTGTCACCCATAACCTTCTTGTTGAATGCACATAAACTTGCGAGCCTGTCACCATTCTCGTTCCTTTCTCCCAGTCACTCCATGTTGTCCCATGTTATCTTGGTGATCGATGTTGTCCATTCCGACATCGTGGTTTAGATCTCCCATCAGGATGGTTAGATTCTTCCTGGGACACTTCGCTATGGTCGATTGCAGCCTCGAGTAGAACTGATCTTCATCATGTTCGTTGCTATCATTGGTGGGTAGATAACATTCCTTGTGATTCCCTCCTTTGTCTTGAATGGTGCTTTAATGAGTTTAAATTCATGAGATTTCTATTCTATAAGTGCATCAGTGCAACTCTCTGTGTGTGCAGAGCATATTCTTACTCGTGATCAAAGTAAGACAGCATCGCTGCCTAATCTAACCTTTTCTGTCGAGCTAGGGTCGAATGGGTTTCACTTATTCCTAACACCTCCATGTTATATCTCCCTATTTCTGATATTGTTTGATTGGTCTCGCTGGTTTCATCGTAGGTATCATAAGAAGAAGTATTCTTTCTCAATATATGCAACCCTAAGCAACACTTGAAACTCTACATGCTTAGTTTCAGAATGTCCTGTTGGCTTACAAATATGTACCCGTTAAACATATCACTTTGTTTTTGTCTTTTTTGCAGACGTTTTTATTTAACTAAATAATTGATTTAATTCACTTTCCGCCTATCATTTGAATTCACATATCATACTTATTCACAGTACCGGTAGATTGTACGTATGTGACTACTTCATTAGGTCTTCTTTCATTACTAATCATTTATGAATCTTCTGTAGATCGTCACTATCAGGTTGTTTAGATGTAAAGCTAATATAGACTACGTTTTTATTATTTCTCATAAAACTTTTGAATTGAAAATTGATGACCCAGTAATACATGTCCTCACTCTACCTCAAACTTGTAGTGCACCAGATATTTTTTGTGGTTTACTTCAAATAAAAAATACAGACAAAATGTTTGAGGAATAAAGATCATGTTGGAAAATTTATAAATTTGATTGATCCCAATGATTTTGGACCGAGTTTTCGATGGTGATGCATTTGTTATGAAATAACTTTTTGTAGGTCACTTTAACTGATGTCAGCTCTCAGATACCATATTCACACTTCACATAACAGTCCTTGACCACCTAAATTGTACGACCTAGTGAATAATGTATAAAAAAATATTTAATTACTGAGTTCTATTATTCGCGTTATAACTGTAAAAATATACTAACGATTAAATTCTGAAGACTTTGCATTATTTCCTTGTCTGTGTTCAGAACTAAGTCATACTTAATTGGTATATATTCATCTTCAGCGAATTCCTCGATACACGATCTTTATTACAAGTCACGGCACACTCGCATTGTGGTTAGCAATGAAACCCAAGATGCGTGTTTCGTCTTATTTGGGGCTCGTCAACGTGGTGCACAATTAGCTAGGGTTTAAAGCGATAGGCACTAGGTTCAGGTGTCAGTGTTAATACAATACTAATCTTGGGGTACAATTACATTTAGTTGGTGTGTTCTAAATAGAAAGAAACAAGCGTTCTGGATTCTACAATCCAAATATACTAAGGTTTTTGAAAAAGTTTACATTTCATGATTTTTTTCAACCAACCTATTAGATTGTAACGCCAATTAATGTTACCATGGGGCTGAAAGCTTTCCGTCATATTCATCAAGAAGATCAACATAAACGAGACGTTAAGACCTACTATAATCCTGATGTTGTAAGTTGTTAAAGATTAGTTATTTTTTAAATGCAATCAACTTATCTTAATTTTCTCATTACTATCTAATTCAATAAATTTTAAGTCGAATAAGATTAACAGAGAGGTGAAAAAATTTCCTCTTAATGCTTATCAGTTCCCCTTTTACCAGTCGTTTAAACAACGAAAAACCTGAAAACCAGCGAAATTGAAGGGATATTAAGACATACCTGGAATATATGAGAAGCTAATGAATATAAATCTGCCGTTACGAAATCAGCTCTACGAACTCAAATTCAAATAGTCCCACCATATACAGAAAGAATTACTTGAATTATCACAAAAAATGTGAAATTCGTCGAAATTTGTTTTATTCAACAATTAACACAACCATGTTATGAAGTTAGCACTGATGATGTCCAAAACGACAATGTGTCTTAGTGATGAAAGTTCATGTCAGAAAACGCAACATCAAAACGTTGAACTGGGCTGTTAATTGTCACCATCGTTTCAAAATTATCAAATCGTAGAAAAAAATAAGTGTCGAATGCATATATATATATAATACTTCGCTAAATTATATATGTTGCTTGTTCCATCATGGGATAACTCAATTTCATCCTACTTCCGTAACTCAGAGCTAAATATTATTTCTGTACTTACTTGAAAAAAATCTTAACATCTGAATGACACCTCTCGGTAGTGCTTTTCAGTTCACATAAAATAGATCAACCATTTAAACATATTGCTCATATCGTGCAATGTTCGGTCATGAAACAATAAATACAGGTGTGAAACTATTTTCACACTGTATTCATTGATGCTAAATATTAGTTTTTTAATACTGCACTAAATTTTTCATTTGAAAGATATTTCAAACATTTGTTCATCCTCATAGTTTGCATTTATGATATTGAAAGGTAAATTATCCATTTCTTAAAAGAGGATTCTATTGTTTAACTGTTCAAATGTAGTTTGCTAGGAGTTGATAATCTCGAACTAATACACATTAACCTGTTCTTTATTACTTTGTGTAACCTCTCTTAATCGTAGAGGCTTATAAATTCAAAAATTACTTAACAAATGCTTAATTTTAATCATGTTCATTTTTGTTCTATGTATACAAGTATGTAAATGGTTGTGTTAAAAGAAAATATTTCATAATTTAGTACTATTGAATGAAATTCATTGTTGTATAATTGGATTAGTTTATATATATACATATTTCTTTTTTTTTCTTTAAGATGAACTTGATTCGCAATCCGATCGGAGGTTTGACTTCAGTAAATTATACTGTTATAAAAAGACGTCTAATAACAATAAGCAGTATTCCAGCTATTGTAATCAATGTTAAACTATATTGTGATTCAATGAATTGCAAATTAAAATCATGACATAGTATCACAGACAAGTCACCGTATAAATTTTCATATTCATTCAGATTTATATATTTAATAGTATTTCTTTGCATATTATTAACTTTAAAAGAATTCGACTTGCAGTTATCCTGATGTAAATACTTTCATTTATTCATAACTGGATGGTTGGCCATAGCTAATGTGTTGTTATTATTATCATTATTGTTACTATGGTTGTTGAGAGTTAATGAATGATAAGTATTTCCAGACCGAACTTTCTGGTAGAAATATGCTGAATTCTAAAGTCATATTAATGTTGTTGTAATCTATTAGTTATGTAAATATAAGCACCATGATAGACGCTTAAAAACAGTTTAAAAAACTGTATTTTGGAATTTAGAAGTGGGTCCAGATCAAGTGAAATATTCAACCTGCAGTAGGCGTGTTTATGTATCATGAATTGAGACCATTATTTCCCAACTATTCTAGAATTTATCAATTGGTTATATTATGGAAATATTGTACAAATTAGCACACTTAGTTTCGGATGCGTCATGATGATCGATTTTGGTTGAGAAATGAAGTGAGATAGGCAATATAACATTGTAAACGAATAATTTCTGAAGTAAAAGCTGAAATTTTAAAAATACCAATTGTTGCTTCTTGCTAGCAATTTTTGAGTAACTCCTGTTCTGGCTTCTCCTAGGAAGGATTATCAGAAGTATCAAGTAAAGAGATTTATACTGATAAGATGGTATTAATGAAGGAAGGATGCGAGTAAAGAACAACGAATGAAACAAAACAACAATAAAGCTGCGTCATTTGTGACGAAAGTGTGATGTTATGTTAAATCAGTATATTAAACCTAAACTGAATTATTTTCATTAGATACATTGTTATTTGGGTCTCCGCAGCTGATGTTAACTAGACAGGGTGGTGAAATGTATTAGAGAAATATGGGATCGACTTAACAGAGAAAGGTCAAGAGTATGGAAGCTGTTGAGAGTTGTCAGCTTACAAATTGAATTGATAGCAGGAGAAGGAACGGATTAATTAGCTGTTTGTATTGACAAACGGGATTAGGACTGATGAATTAACAAATGAAAGATTGAAGAAATGTCTAATGTGGGTAGTGCTAAATCAAAGGCAGGCGCATAATCGCTCATACTCAGTCATATCTGTAGTTCAAATCCCACGAGGTGTGTTATTCGTACCAAATGATAAATTTTTTGCAATTGATTCTGCCCTTATTAGGAATTCCACATATAATACGGTCAGTTGTGCTCATATAGTTCTGTCTTAAATTGAACTATTCGAGAAATTCTTAGTTGGGATGTCAGTTTGCATACTTCTAATTGTCAATCGTGGTCAGTACTAAATGTTGAATATTCACTAAACTGTTCATACTGGGAAATAATTCAATGTTATACTACTTTAGATATGTGATCTTTTGTTTAAATACGTACTCTGAATTCTGACTGTGAAAGTTTATCTCAAGTTGGTACTTTCGAACTCTATCAAAACCTGCTAATTCAACTTTCACAAATTCAGTGTAGCTGAATAAACGTCCATTAGATTCATGGCTGGAGCAATACGATCCTTGTAACAATTTGAGATCACAGACATATATCTCACCTAGCTCCTGATGATTATTTTTATATTTGGTTTGTGCAATATTTATTTTGAGTTGTTTGTTGATTCTTGTCCTTCATCACGTGTTTACAACCTTTTCACTTTCAAGAGATTGTAGTGGTTTTCTAACGGTATTTTCTATTACAAAGTGCTCCTCGACTAAACTAATCAACAAAAATTCATATACAAGGAACTGCTATTTTTAACAATAGATTTGCCATAGGATTAATAGCTGCTGAAACAATCAAGAATCTTCCTAAAAATAAAGATCACCTACGTTTACTATTACTTGCTTTCCATCAAGTGACCACTTATTAAAACTTATCTCTCTTGCATGTGGTATTATTCTCATCAGTTGACGCTTAATATTTTCTTCTTTAAGAGGTCCTATATCACCAAAGATGGTGTAGGGTCAGCGAAATGTCACTAAGCCCTAGCCAAATCATCTGACAGATGGGTCATTGAATATCGAGCAAATCATCATCAAGGTCAGGGACAACCAATGCGCATCAGTTAATCGTATGCCATGGACTGGCCCATGCGGCAGTGATCTTACTTTCGCTTGTATTTACCTTAACTAATATATTTCTGTAATAACGTCCTCTGTGTTGTACAGTTTTCAAAGCATCTATGGTACCTTGATACGTCAATGGGGTAGTCCACGTAAGATGCTGACCACGTGGTGTGACTTCGACGTTAGCTAGTTTGTCACACCATTCACGTCCAACTTGAATAGGCCTCCAATCATTTCGACATGGATCATCTACGTTGGCGATCTACAATGGGGATGCTAGGTGGTCATCCAATAGGATTGCCACAAACATTTGTCTAGCCACCATTACTCTGAACTATTCTAAACCGCAAACTGTGCAATCTGATCAATTTCAAATAGTGGCGACTCCCATAGAATATCTCATCTCGTCACTCTTGTTTTTGCATAGGTAGGCAAAAGTTAAATTCCTCGACGCCATGTCAAATATTTTCGTCGGTTATTAGGGTGACGAGTATACTGTTTGGTGTTCATTGAATAAACATTTGAAACTTAATGCTGAGGGTCATATCGACTTGAAACAATTACAAATTTATTGTTACCATCCTGCCGCAGACATTGTAGCTAATATTTTAGCCGCGTTAAATGAGATGAAACATTTCTTAGAGTCATCTATTTAAGAGAATAAAAAATGGTCCTCTTTCATTGCTTATTGATTTAGGATTTGACCTGTAATAAAATATTATACGATTTCCCTCCTAACAATCACAGCAACACTTATTATAGATACACGGAATGTTGGACAATGTGCGAGGCAGGGGAGACCAATCAAACAATATCAGAAATAGGGAGATATAACATGGAGGTGTTAGGAATAAGTGAAACCCATTCGACCCTAGCTCGACAGAAAAGGTGAGATTAGGCAGCGATGCTGTCTCACTCTGACCACGAGTAAGAATATGCTCTGCACACACAGAGAGTTGCACTGATGCACTTATAGAATGGAAATCTCATGAATTTAAACTCATTAAAGCACCATTCAAGACAAAGGAGGGAATCACAAGGAATGTTATCCACCCACCAATGATAGCAATGAACATGATGAAGATCAGTTCTACTCGAGGCTGCAATCGACCATAGCGAAGTGTCCCAGGAAGAATCTAACCATCCTGATGGGAGATCTAAACCATGATGTCGGAATGGACAACATCGATCACCAAGATAACATGGGACAACATGGAGCGACTGGGAGAAAGGAACGAGAATGGTGACAGGCTCGCAAGTTTGTATGCATTCAACAAGAAGGTTATGGGTGACACAATATTCCCATACAAACACATACACGCAATGCTACACGGGTTTCACCGAATCACATTACACATAACCAGATCGATCATATTTGCATTACTAAATAATTCAGAAGGTCAATGATCGATGGAAGGCGTGAGAACCAGGAGATGAGCTGAAACAGCTTTAGATCACCACGAGCTGGTGCTTGCCAAGATAAAACTGAAGCTAAAGAAAAACTGGACAACTGGGGAAACATCATTACAAATGTTCAACACTGCCTTCCTTCAACATACTAGCAGACTCAACCTATTCAAGTTAGCTCTCGACAACATGTTTCTTAACCTATTAAAATGCTCTTGCTTAACAAATACCTAAATAAAAGAAAATTAGACTGGGGAATCATACCTTAAACATCCCTTCATGAATTTTGGCTACTCTGCCTCTCGTCCTTTCTCTTACTATCTCCCTCTTTCAGCCCACCTTGAGATATGGAACGGTGGACTTCATTCTGCACCATCCTTAAAATCTTGGATATTTCAAGGGGACATAAGGTTGCGATTTCTAGAAGCTCGTACCTTCATCGTTGACCATCAGTTGCACATTCGCAACGCGACTTTGATGAAGCGCGCCGACGGTGATACTGACCAAAACGATCTACATTAATATCTTTTAAATTATCAACCCAGCTGAGTAATTTACTACAGTGGGTATTGTATCATTTGTAAAAATTTGATCTTGCCTGTAAACTGGCATGCCTCATGTAACAAAGTGTTATTCGAGAATAAATTATTATTATTATTATTATTACTCAAAGAAGAAGAAACTGATAAAGGTGACAATTGCGAAGGGATGGAGCAAGCTCTAACTGCAACCTTTCATGACATTCTGGACCAAACCAAGCGTTATCATCAGAAATGGATTTCTACCAAAATCGTGAACAAGATCCGAGGATGGAAGAGCAAGAAGACAGCAATTAAATACAGCCGAACCAGAGCAGAGAAATTCAAGGCGCATAACGAACATACATATAAGGAAGAGCACTAGAGCTGACAAACGGAAATACGTGGAGGACACAGAAACGAAAATGGAAAAAGGTGAGATTGAAGGAAATTTGAGACAACTTTAGGACAGAACAATGAAGCTGGTAGGAAAATATGTTAAACCAAAAATCTGGGCAAGGATAAAGAAGGCAAACCAATTACTGAAATTCAAGTAGAGAAGCATAGATTGGTGGAACGCTCTAAAGAACTCTTGAACAAAACAGCTTCATCAAAAAATCCACCGGACAACTAAACAGCAGACCCACAGACGTTGGAAGTCGATAGAATATACATTGAGGATATCACTAAACTGCATCACGAGGCACGTAGTGACTTGTAATTCTGAGAAGAAAGTTGAAGACCAACAAGCACATTCCGCCGTGATTTTGGGAGAAGACATGATTCGAATGATCAGAGGCTGACAATAACTGAAAAGGATTGTCCAGTTCAGAGTTGGATGGAGAATGATAGTGTGCACCTATGCTCATTTACTAGCGGTAACATGTAAAGCAAGGTAGTGCGCATGTAAGTGGGTTTTGAGACGTCGATGCTTTTGTAAACGATAACCAGTCGACTGTTTTGTTGTGACTGTTTCTGTGTCTTGGATTCATTTTTTCCATTGGTAGACAAGTTTATTGTTCATGTACGGCTTCTGATTAACTCCATTGATTTGCCGTTACTGGGTTTCGTATTGCTCGGCAAGTTAGTAAATATCTTTAATTTGCATCATTCATTCCTCCTTCACTTTCAATTATAGGCAATGCTCTTTTAAATGTGTCCACGCCCCCTTGTAGCTAATCCGTTAGATTAAGGGTGGTTAAAGAATGTCTTTGTACGTTTCTCGACGTTGGAGATCCAAACCCTCAAAAAATTCACATCGGTGAAGTGAGATCCAACGTTTGATACCAACAAATCCAGAGACACAAATCAGTACATTATCTATTCCAATTTTTCCACAGTAGCTTTCGATAACACAGACATCATACAGTGAACTTCCGAACATTTAGGAGTAGAATCAACAATTATCAGTTTTTAATCAGGCATTACGAACGGTAGCTATCCGATTTGAGACTCAGATGATTTTGTGCATGTTGAGCGGAACTACAGAGTGACAGCCTTACCGGCAGTAGGACGCCTAGAACCTGATGTCAAACAACCCTGTTCCAGGTGTCACTTAGATTTTATAGAGCCAAAGGAATGTAAGCTGAGCGTCCAGGGTTGTTGATAGGTGGTGATGTGCTTAAAGCTCATAGAATATTAATAGTTTGTTCTCGACTAATAGTCTGTTACATAAGGCATGCCAGCGTACACACGAGGTCGACTTGGTATACAGGGTACAGTCTTCACTGTAGTAGAATACTCAGTTAAGTTTATATATCATAAGGTGCATCGGTATAAAATGATGGGGAATAACTCTTCCCAATTATGAGTGTAAATAATACTAGTTAGGCTCGTATGGTAAATATGAATGTTGTGTTGCGACGTGCAGTTGATGGTAGTGAAAAAATCCACGTAAAGTTCAGTGCTTCTAGAAACTGCAACTTTACGTTCTTCTGGAATATCTGAAGCATTAATGATGGTGCATGACTAATTCACTTGCTTCATATGTGTTTTCGGCAGCATATCTCCAGGGAGCTGAAAAGAAGGGTAAGAAAAAGAAAGGACGAGAATTAGAGCATGACTATTGAAGTTGATTCATTTGTAGTGAAATAGTTAAGGTGTGACTACTCAGTCCAATTCTCTTTTCTCAATGTACTATTTAAGCATGAGCTTTTCAATGGGTTAAAGAACACAAACGTAAACGTTGTATGACCGGACAAATAACTGTATACATAAAGGTCGTTAGAAAAGAAGCTGGAAGTATAGGATTAAATGAAGTTTAAAACTATAGTACTGAAAACAGTATTCTGATACATAAATGGTTATCTCTTTTTTTCAACTCTATTTCAGCTCACTTTTATTTTTGTTGATTTTATAGGGTCACGAGCGGACTTCGTTTTTGACGAATTGTCTAGCTTTTCTTTTAATAGAATTACCCAGTAGGAATTGAAACCAATCCAGAGTTGCAAACAAGAACTAAAGAGGTATTTTGCATGATAAGTTAGCATCGATACCAATGGCTCATGACATTCCACAAGATCATATAGAGTAGTAATTCTATAACATGTTCTTTTCTACAGACATATCTGAAAAGAAGTTATTTCCTCACCATTATGTCTGCTGGTCAGTAACGCCACCTTACCACCTTTTGTGATGTTAGACTCCCCTAGGTTTGTTGTGTGCATGAATATTGCATTAATCGAAATCACTTGTTGGGATATACTGTCTCAACTAGTCCTAATTTACAAGCGAATCAGATGGCTGAAGCTTTTGCATTGTGGATCAAACATCCATTCAGTATATCACACTGCTATGAAGATATCTAATGGTAAGTTACAAAAGAGGTCAGATTATGTGTGGTTTAGAGATGGTAAGGATAGATGACAAATCAAGGGATATGCAGGAGTTTTGAATTGTAAAACTTTCGAACTAAGGAAAAAATACATTGAGCAACTCACAAGAATTTTGTACATAATAAGCTTCTTGCGACCGGTCATAGCTGGTCAGCATCCATGAGATTACGCAGTTATCTGTCAACTTGTAATGGAGAAAATGGACATGGCACTTGGGAAAAATAATGCAATTTTTACTATTAGAGTGATTCAGAGTACGAAAGTGACGGGTTGGGGCACAGGGGTGTGACTAATAATCACTGAATAATACCCTGTTGACCTCGATCTTTACTGGTTATTGCTAACAGGACAAGCTGTTAGTCACATGTACGGAAAGCTAGATACTTCACTCAAACCCGAAGCATATGCCGATGGTGTTGTTTAGAATAATAATGAAATCTCCACGACCAAAATATGAAGCTAATAAAACAAAACTCCATCGAAATTGTGTCGTTAAAACTTATGAAACCCGAGTCTTTCAAGCTGCAATCCAACATATATGACAAGCAGAACTATAATTCTTTGGAATCGTTCCTCGTCCACTGGGTTCATGTCAGTCTAGAGGAATAAATTTCATCCAAGATAGAAGTGATTGTGTTGTCATCTTATTCAAGTCTATTGTCACTATACTGTTTTAAGCAGAAAAACAGACCTTAGTGGAAGTTAACAACTGTGTGACCTCGAGTCAGAACTGAAAAATTGATTTTGATTCATCACAGTAAGATACATGGAACCAATTACGGTAGTTGTGCAACCACAACTAGAAAATTGAGACCAGTCTCCGCATGTAAAATGAAGTGAATGCTGCAAGACGACCCAAAATAAATTCATGAACGCACCTCGAAGGAATTACGGAATTCAGTAGAAACAATTTATAATTATGCAACCTAAATAACTGTCTTCGTACATAAATTAGGGGGTAAAAGCGCACTAATTAGTTACGGGAGTGAATCTCGATCCATAGACAACAACCAAGACAATGTAAAATCTACGGCTGATGTCTCCATGACGTTCTTCACTCAAAAGCCACCTCTTAACAAGTGACAAGGGACAGAATTAATGTCACTGAGGACCTAGGATAAGGAGACGTGCCAATGATAATGAGTTCTTTTAACCCGAATAGATCGACGAGACGGAATATGTTATGTCATAAAATCGTGAAACAAATTGCACCACATATTTCTACCCTGTTCATTACATTATTCAGGATATCTTTCAGACAGACTGGTTTGTCTGTGGACTGGAAATGTACGACTGTTACTCCAATTCACAAGATAGAATCAAAACAACTTTCGCTAAGCCATTAACCTGTGCGCTTCTCGATTGTCTTAGTGAAGATATTGGAAATGTCGTCAGAGAGGCTACAATTAACACAGAGGAAATGAACATCCAATTAAACAGTGAACATCACAGTTTTAAAAAGACTATCCTACACAGCTGAATTTATTGCAGCAAAAGCAGATGGCAGTGGAAATTCAGTGGATGTTGTCTACCTCAGCTTCCGGAAAACTCTTAATAAGGGGCCTCCTAAATGCGGGAAACTTGAGAGATTGGTTTAGTCCCAAAATAATTTGTGAATAATAGTCAGCAACAGCCCACAGCCATGTGGTTCGGAATTCCATTGACCATAAAACAGACACATTTAAAAGTCAGACACAAGTAATTTCACTAAGACATAAAGTGGATTGATGAGGTCCCAATTTAAAAATTACGTACAGACTACAAGCTTCTCTTTCAAAGGTAATATCTTGAAAAATTACTGGCAATAGCTGTTCGTATAATTCTACGTTTTTGAGGCTTGACATACACAAGGAATGCTGATAATGCAGACTTCTTTACTCGTTCACACTCTAAACATTGAAATGATCTGATTGTGATATATAGAATATTACGGAATAGCTTTATACAGACTTCATACTAACTTGTTGTTGTAGTTTATCTCCCTAGCCAATAATGAACTAAATACCCGGGATGTGAATCTTCACACTGGATAATACCAATGCCACCATTAGTGCAGCACAAAGCCATTTAAATAGGCTCCTGAACTTTGCGCAAATGCTCAAAGTTTGTCTAATGAACGATCAGATCTAGATGTACAAATAGACTCTACCAGACCGAATGTAATTGCAGCCACTTAGCTGTTGGAGTCCATAGACTGTATGGAGCTTGATTTTGAAGGTTTCACGTCAGTAAGAGCCGACGGAATGCAGGAGTGTAAAGAGGAGTAGCCATATGCATTAGGAACACCATCCTATTTGCCATAAATGATAATGTATCACATGAGAGTGAAGTGTGAAATAGTTATTTGCAGCCTGAAATATAAGGGACAAGAGCTGCTGAATTGATTTGGTATACCGGAGTCCGGGCAGTGAGGTAAATGAGATCTTGCTAGACGACCTCAATAAATACGTTCAAACAAAGAGTAATAGTCTACACCAAATTAATGTGAATGTTTAACTGAAGGAATCCAGCTCCCAGGTTCTATATTGTTTAAGTATTTGTAAGTTACCAAATGTATATAGATATAGAGACCTTGAAGAACAGTCGCGTAATTGGTTAACCCACATACCATTCCCAAGGACAAACATAGAACTCACTTATTAGTCTCTACTGGTAATTTTTCTTCATTTGGTTTGTTGTCTGCTAGACCTCACATAATATTAAGTTCTGTTTTTTCTTTGTGTTCTATCACGTATAATAATTACGTATCTCCATTTTTCTTGTTACACATGGTTCTAAAAGCTGTTTCTGAAATAAGGCATATGCCTCATATGTTGGCAGAGAGACTTTGACGTACAAAAGTGGTAGTATGAGAAACCATTAGCCTAATACCTGAGGCTTGAAAAAACCAGTGAATATTTAAAAGTTTATCTAGTGTCTGTCAAAAAACCTTTCCCAAGACTTCTAACGTTTTATCAAAGGCCCCAGACAACCAAAAAAGTTGAAATAAAGGCGAACAAAGGGGAAATAAAGGGGTAAATGCTTTGGTAGCGAAAGGGAAAAACGCATAAGAACGTCACCTTTCTCGCCTGTCCGGGGGAAATAATGCGGATATCCCCCTTTTTCGCCGTTTTGTCGATAAATTACTCACTTTTCGCCTAAATATCCGCAAAACATAAAGCGTTTTATGTTTTATTTGTGCTTTGGCCAATTGAAGTGGCAAAGTAGCATGTGAACTATCTCCATATAAAGTCCAGATGTCGTAACGTGGAATTCAGACGTCCGAACACTGGAAAACAAATTGTGACCTCATTCGTAAACTTTTGTATAGAAACTTAACTTCGAATATTCGACTGTTGATATTGTTGGTTTTTATTGTCTGAAGTATAACTGATGTGTCTTTATCAATATATACCGTAAGTAACGACGATTATTAATTTTCTGCCTGAACAATTTGTACCTCATCACTTTCTATGTCAGTCTTGCGTTACCGACTATTTTGAAAACTGATTTTTTACGCACAATGTAGTCATAACTTTCTAAAATTTCCGCTTTTAATATTTAGTCTGAATTAATCGATTCCGACAAATCATTGTATACACAGATGCCTAGTACATTATGGAATCCGATTTTTCCCATACTGAGTAGGGAGTTTAGTTGCCGTAGTTTCAACTTAATTCGACACTTCGAGCCGCAGGTGAGTTTGAGTAAATTTTTCGTAATATTTAACATTTGTTCTCTGGAATCCCTTTTTTATGTTTTTTTCTTGAAAATAGCTTTTCGCGAGTCAGTATTTCACGGGCTTAGAACACTATATAGTATGAAGGAAGCCGATAGTTCGGACGCAATCAGAAGTAAACTTATTCTTAAATAGTTACATAGGTGACTTAACCTTTTTTTAAGATGCGAACAAAAATCGCCCGGTTGTAAAATAATAAAACACGCCGTTTCCGAACAAACTAGTCTATTCCGTAGTCAGAAGGTCGCCACCATTCTTAGAGAGGACCGGAGGTAAGCCATCCATCCTGGCCTGGTATTCATGGCAGGAGTTGAAGTTCCTTATAAACTTCTGCCGTGTTAGATGGATCAATCGACACTGACCAGGGAGAACAGAAAAATCCGATCGATGTACCCATACCACATTAGTAAAGAGAAACGAAGTCAAGCCAGGAAGAGTAAGCATCGAAGATACGATCCGAGAAGAAAATATAAATTCGTTAAATCAAAACAAAAGAAAGTTATGAGGAATTTAGAATCTCGGAATTTGGATGGTGACAAAAGAAGGATGCATGTACGCAATTACAAACGATTTTGAGCCGTACCATCCAAAGTCTCTGACCATTGGTTACGATAATCACGCGGACCCCAACCAGGTCGTTTGTACCTATTAATATGGCTAAGTAGTTATCAGTAACTTCACGAACTGATGCCATGTTTTGGTTTGGCCACCTCTAGCTTTCTTCCAGCCTATTCCTGCACCAGCAAACATCTCCCATCACAGGTTGGTAAAAGCCAATCGAACCTTCTGAATTCTTGCCGAAATTTCGTCAGACACCAAACCATCAAAACTGGTGAGACTCAAAATAAATGAGGCGGTCGATGCATTCAACCACTTCACTCCCTATCATTCAAACGATGACGGAAGCCAATCCTGGAGTAACATTTCGTATTTAGAGGGAGAGATCTGCGTCACAAAACTTGCTTGCATTGTTGCCTAAGGTGGTCAGCATCTTCAAACAGAATTATATCATCTGTGTATTGAGTCAATAAGTAAATGTCATATAAGATCAATCACTGAATAGTTAGAGGATGAATATTTCATTGCTAAAAGCATGTCTCTGACTAGGTTTAATAAATCGGGAAAGCAGACAACCCTGGTGAATACCACTCAACTAATTCTGATGACAGTTCTCAATAAGATCTGACTCCACCAGTAGTGTACACGTAGAAAACCTGTAGTTATCTGATACACCTTTCAGTGAGACAAAACCATAGAACCTCATGATCAACGGGGTTGAACACCGCCTAGTTATCAACGAATACAACTATATTCGGACATCAGAAAGTACGTCTATGTTCCAGAATCTGCCGAAGGGTGAATATTTGATCTGTACATCCACCCTCAGGTCTGAAACCAGCCTAATTTCCTCGGGTTTGCTCTACATGAGCTATAGTTAGACGTCGAAGTATTATCGAGGCTAACATTTTAGACACTAGATTAGTTAAACTGTCTGCTCACAAGGGGATTTTTATCCCTTCTCCTAGACTGGGATGATCAGTGATCAAGACCTGCCAAATGAAATTACATCCAGATCCGAGATTGTAGCTCGGATTTAGTTAGCGTAACTGCCAAAACTGCACCACCATACCTAACAATCTCAGGGGTTAGTCCATCGTTCGATTTATGTATGTTGTATCTCGGAAAAACGCGTACAGGATCCTAGTGTTGTCATTCACTTGACCTCACCTCGCCAAACGGAGAGCCGACGAGATACGCTTTCCATCTATCTGGCGACCCGATGGCTAGTTCTCGTGGACTGGCAAGTGTAGGCATAGGACTGAGTATGAGGGCAGAACAAGCACTATTAGAATGGGTCCCTGTTAACAGTCGCCTACGTGTTGTTCAGCTAAACAGCTTTGTAAGAACTCGGAAGTATAGGAACACACGTTGCCTTTTGGTCGTTTCTGCCTACGCTCCCACGGACTGCAGCTCGGATAAAGTGAAAGATGACCTTTACAGAAAGCTTTCTGAACTTCTTCATAAAGCTGCCCGCTCAGACACAGTACTCGTAGCAGGTGACTTTAGTGCGAAGGTAGGTAGCTTAAACGAAAACAGCAGCGACATCCATTAGTAACTTAAACCAAAGGGTTACGAAGAACAAATGGATTTTTTCTAGGTCTCTTGCATTGATAGATTCTCGTAAACTCATCCCATCAAGCTCTGATCATTATGAAGAGTGAAGAAAAATCAGATCCAAATTAACCAAGAGTCTAAGGAACGACCGTGAGCAGTGGTGGGTAACGAAAGCAAAAGAGATAGAAAAGGCAGCGGCTGTAGGTAACACCAGACAGCTTTTCAGACTAATAAATTCAACTGGAATTAAGAAGTGATGTGTGAGACGATCGCAGAAAAAGACAACACTCTTATCCGCTCTCAGCCCAGACATTTAGAACGATGAGCGGAACAGTTTAAGGAGCAGTTCATCTGACCTTCAGCTACTCTACAACTACCCACCGTTCCCAGACAGCCTGAATGGAACATTGAAGTAGTCCAAAAATCTATAGCTAATCTGAAACTAGGAAGAGCAGCTGGCTCAGATGTCTTTAAGTATGGTGGTCTAATTTTAGCGATTAGGTTGACTAATATTTTAGGTGGAATCTGGAAACTGAATGTAAACCCATCTGACTGGTCTCAATCACTGATTGTTCGAATATATGAGAAGGGGTCAAAATAATCCTGTGATAACCATAGAGGAATTAGTTTGACTAATATAGCATCTGAAATACTAGCCTCAATGATTATTGGGTATCTGAAAAAGATTCGTGAACTGTAAACACGAAAATCAGTCTGGCTTTGAGCCTCGTCATGGCTGCATCGTCAGGTTTTAGAATACAGACATGCTTATCGGCACCGACAGTGATAGTTTTTCTTGACTCGGTTAACTGAGAGGTTCTGTGGCATTGAAAGGCATACCTGAGAAGTACATAAACCTTGTGAAGGCTCTACTCGAACACTACTGGTCGAGTCAGAGCGTATGGCGAACCGTCATCTGATTTTGCAACTTCAAGTGGTGTCTAGCAAGGCTGTTCACTATCTCTATTTCTGTTTAATTTCATCAGCGACCTACTGCTGGAAATAACATTCTCGCTAGTCGAACTTTCAGGACTTGACCTCCTACCAGCAAGTTCGCTTATCGACTTAAAATACGCTGTCCTGTTTTGTGAAGACGCTGGTAAAAAATAGTGCTCCTGTAGCACGTGTCTTTCGTAGCGAATGCTTAGAGACTGTGTGACATCGATCATAATGGCGCCGGTATATACACTCTGTTCCTTCCCGTGAACAGTGAGATTACTTCATACCTCTCATTCAACGGACTAATTCTTTCTACCTGTATATCATTACATCAGATCTTTATTTTACTACCTTTGAAGTAACTGATTCTAAAATTTAGGTTTTCATCTTGTGCTGATGAGGTGTCGCAACTCGAACCGATGCACACATGTGTCTTGTCCTACGTTGTAGTTGACTGAAGTAATCCCTGGAAAACGGCTACGTTAGCATAGTTGCAATAGGCCCCCAAATGCCCTGGTATGGCCGAGTGGGGTGGGCTCTCCCTCTTTCTCGAAATGCTCTCACACGAACACGCGTACACAGCCTCTGCCACGGAAGTCCTACTCACTGTCTTCTCGTGTCGGGGTTGTTTAAGAAAATGAGTAGACGAAAGGCGAATGTCCGGCGCTTTAACCGGATCCCAAACCAATGGTGCACATGGGCTGCAGTGTCCTGCGGAAACAAATGGCGCATGGACCAATTTTTGGTCACTAGCTTCCATGGGACTACATCTCCTCACGATGCTCCACTCTCTTGTGGATCAGACCTTCAGGGAGTGGCCCCCTAAGAAAACCACCTGCTTCGGTTTGGGCACCCGAGCAGTATCACAGCCCCCACACATATCTAATGACATTTGTGCGGCGCATATGTATTTGGTGCCTCCTTGTACCAATATCTATGTGTTAAAATAAATAATAGTTGCAATAAACGGTCATCATTATCTGTTCGCCGAGGCGCAACGTCGTAAAATCCACTCAATTTCTTTTGGTTTTGTTTAGTTCGTTTACCTGAGCACTCAAATCACCTTCCATTGTTTGCAGCTCAGATGACGTTTGTATTAAGGTATCCAACCTTAAGCTAAACGCTCTGTAGTAATTTTACGCTCATCACAACCATGTGGTGTTAACAAATCATGAAATCATTTTCGAAAGGTTTTCGGGTCGTAGGTTATTATAAACCGACTGTACGCAATACTAACAGTCAGTAAATTATTCAATCATGTCTTATTGCAATGGGGTTCCTTTGTTGCTTAATTGATCAAAAATATTAATCATTGTATATTACTATAATTGGATGTTATTCGTTCGTTTAGACACCGAAAGAAGTCGGACCAAATGATCGGAACAATCGCCTTCCTAAGTCGTATGAATTGATGATGCGAACCATACAAAACAGAGTAGGTCCGACCCAGAGGCCCCGCAAAAGACTATACACCATATTGCTTTCTCGTCGAGAGAACAAAATGTCGGAATCAGTTAGGATGTCCACTCCCGAAGGGCGAGCGCTCATTTTTAAGAGACTTATTGATGGACAAAAACGTTTGTGGCCGCATGCTTGGTAGTTTGTTTGCTTCAACTTCCCAGACATATTTTTGAAAATTTGTGTACTTCTATTTCACTCTGTCTTCAAATATAGTGCGTATTAACGACTAATTGATTTTTTTAAACCATGTTTTGGATTGAGTTCATGGGATAAGAAAGTAAGGGTGAATTTTCATACTTATGTGAAAGCAGTAGTAAGGGGTGTCGCTAATTGGTTGTTCCAGCTGAAATCCATCCACAGTATATGCCAAAATTTATAATTAAGAAACGCGAACGGACATTAATTAATCTTTGCTCCTAAGTTTCCTTCTGTGCTACGTCAACTAGCAGATTATTCTCAAAAAAAAATACTTTTCTACGGTGACTGGAAGTCTTATTACTGAATACGGCAGAATTTAGTGTTTCGGGTAACCTACTTCAGACAAACCATACCGTATTTACTAAGCAAGTGGTCTCAAAACAAACTGGAAGACAAAATGGGATTTCAAATTATAATGGATGTAATTAAAAACCACAAACCAGTTGTTGTCAATAAACCATTGCGTAAAGAATATTGTTTCAAAAGTAGGACTGAATGAAGAGAAGAATGTTTCTAACAACGAGTATACTCAGTAAATTATTTATTTAGAACTAATTGGAAAATGTGATTCTATGGTGGTGAAGTTGTCCTTTATAACCTCCATGTTCTTGATAACATTGTTTTGTACCTGAAATAAAGCGAAACTAATGTAGGATGAAGCTACCTCTTCTAAAAGTTTGGTATACGAAGATAAACTTCCTTCCACATTTTTTTGACTTGATTCTATTGTACACAGGGATTGGCTAAATTGAGATGCTGAAAGTATAACAAATGATTACGTTTGGTCAGTAGATTGATAAGTATATTACCAATCAGTAATATATAAATAAATGAAGTACTTCCTACTATGGGCAGTCTTCATTTTTAAATAGTGGAATGAACGTATCTGACAGAGTTAACAAAATCAACCGTTGTTTTGAATTATCATATGATTTACTATGGAAAAAGTCAGGTTAGTAGAAAAATCTGCTCAAATGTTATTTAATAGGTAATTGTTTTACGTGACCAGTTGTGATGAGATGAACAGTCTTCATAGTACTTATTCAATAAAGAATAACGTTACTCATTAATGAATCATAGTTACATGTATTTCGCCTTAAGCGAAACTACAGTTGTATGGATGTTAATACTATTTTTCTGCCCAAACCAAGATAGATGAAGAGAGGTTCAAACTTGCAATCAAATGGTTAGTAATCGAATTATTTAACAACTAAGGTACCCATCCACTTCAATAAACTAGTCTTGTTATCGCACCTAGTATGTAATGTAATAAAGACTCTCAGTCCAGAAATAATTTCATGAAGTAGTGCATAGTCTTCTTAGACTACTCTCCCAATGTGTGACTGTATGTACTCAACTTTCCATTGTCACTGCTTAAAATTTATCATTAAGCTTGATTAAAGGTCCAAGTGATAATCTTATTCTTTCCAATATGTTAACTTTGCAAACAAGAAGTGTTTTAGTCAGCTTTTTGTAGTAAACATATGTGGCTGTGCTATGACGTACATGTTAAGGGGGTTGGAATAAATGGATAGATAATTGGTCAATAGATCGAACGCGATGATCCAGGATGGTCTGTTGATAAGTTCTCACGAGACCGAATTGTTGGTGCACGGCCCTAAATAAACGAATATCGAAAGCGATGCAACCGACTAGCAGAATGGCCTTTGTTCTTAAGTAAAATAGTATACTTTTACACAAAATATTAGGTATAAAACCCAACACGAACAGATGTCATCTAAATAACTGACTGAAGGATATGACCTTCGAAATATGTACTCAACTCTTCACTTGAATTAAAACTTACGCCTGTTTGCCCAACTTAACCCATATAATATACAATCTGTGAGGTCTGACGAGATGCATGCAATTTCGAGTCCCGATGCTTTCTAATCGAAATATTTTCTAATATTGCATTTGGATATTATTTTGTAATCAGAATTTACATTTGTTGTTTTGAATCAAATAGTGGGGTTAGGTTTTGTGAAATTTTAGGTTTAATCAAAGTGATAGTTGTGTGATATTAGTATTCAACTGAACAGTTCGTGATCTGTTGCTTACATGAGTCATTCAAGAAATACAATTGGCTATCCAGCTCAAGAGCCAAGGTAGGGGGTTACGTATTCTATTTCAAGTCATACTATTTTTTGTAAGGACTCAATTATTTGATCAGATCGAGGTACACGAAGTGCGGTCCAACTGTTATGACCATTATATCATCTTCCCACAGTAAATACAAAACAGGAATTTCAGAAAGCGAACAAGATAAGTTACATGTCAAATCATATGTTCTGCTTACCTTCTTCATGTAGTGATTTAAGGGTGCTAAGTCGTTCTACAATCATAGGTAGACTCTCGGCCACATCATTCCATTTCTTTACCAGTTCGTAAAGTTCTGCGATCTAAAGTTAGATAATAAGTGTATTTGTTCATATTATGAAGTCTTTCGGTCGTCACTCAGCAAGATAGCTAGTTATTGTTCAATAATTCGGTTAAAAAGAAGTGTGGAGCCTTAAACTCTACTGGTAATCTCTAATCAGCGAACTTACCAAGGTGTATAATAAATAAAGTGGGTAGAATTTCATCTGTGAAAAATATCCTGTGGAAACCCTAGTAGTATAGCAAACAATACAATAACTCACTTAAAAATACCAAAAATATGCATAACTAGATTTGTTTCTAATTTATTTAGTTTTCCACGTTAGTTTTGAAAGCTTTTAAACTGAATTTTAGTATTAAATCTGTTAATAGAAGTACAAAAACTAGAATCCTTATACTATATTCTGTTTAGTTCTTATATAAGAATAACATTTTCGAAATCAATAGGATAATATTAATTCCACTGCATAATAGTGCTTAATAATACAGATGGTGTAGATATACCACATCAATCACTTCGAAATATACTTAATAATTCGCATGTACTTCTCTAAGCTAGTATAGTAGGAGGGCAAAAAGACAATCCTGGATTCGCTTTCTGAAGAAATTTTAGACTAAGATGGGCCCCGCATTCTGTTACAATGAAACAAATTCATTAATCTTTCGTCTTTCTTTGACCTTTTAAAATTATTTAGTACCTCCTATTAAGTAGGTTCATTATTTTCTTGATGATCACATTTTCTACGGCATATCTTTTTGATACTACTCCTACTTTGGTACTGATCTTAAAAGTTTTATCCTTCTGCCTTGGCTGTGATGTGATGAATTGGACTAGAGCAAATATGTCTAGTTCTACGATACCTACGGCTGACTGACAGTAAAGTTTTTAGCTAACCTGAAAACTTCAACTTTACTTTCTCGAACAAGAAACTGTCAGCTATAAATTTGGAAGTAAAACGTACAGGCAAATTATGAAAAGTTATTTCAGACAGTGATGGATGCAGTTAACAGTTCGACCAATTTATGTGTAAGTAAAACTATGATGATCCCTTACAACTAGACAGAACTCATTCTTAGCATATTGCAAATGGGTGACATTTTGAAGCAACACAACGCAAGGCATAAAACTCACTTTATTTTGCATATCATAGTCCGCGATAGCCTCTCGCTTTTCAGTAACAGCTTGTAACTTCCCCTGCAATGATGCTAAGCGAGCTTCGATCATATCAAGATATCCCTGCTGAAATAACGACGAACGAGCGGACAGACGCGAACACGCTTCTAGAAGACCATGGGTAGTTGTATCTGCTGTTAGAGCTGTGAGTTTGTTAGGATCTGGCTGGCCAATAAGAGCTTCGATACGATGAATCCGACGATCGATATCCGCCACCTAAAATTGTACATTAATTCTAGGATCTTGCAAAGCCATATGTTTAGACAAGTTCAATATAAAACCATCAGATTTAAAATAACAGGTCCTGGATTTTGGCACAAAATTTATTCATCCACTTAGTTAAATAGTGTCTTGGTGTTTGAGCGGATGTCAATTCGTGATGAAAACCCTAAACATCAACTGCGAATCATAATCTTTGTTCTCCATAAGGGTTCCCAAACCTCATCTAACCCTAGCAAGCAGGTGGACATTCGCAAAGTCACTTTAGTGTCGCTCAAAGGTCGTCCATAAATTATAGTCTCACACTTTTTTACTGTACTGGAAAACTTTACTTAGAACATGTTGATCCAAACATAGATTCAATCCAATCTGAAAACGGGTCTAGTTTTGTTCGATATAACCTCCGACAGGTTTTTTAAAACACTAAACGGAATTACTTTATCGATGCTCTTTTTGTAAGAATGAATAGAACGACCTTTTCAGCAGCAGTTTGAATGCTCTATTATGCTTTCTCAATATCCTCAACCCGGATTCCCGATAAAGATCTCAAAAATTATTACCGGTAAAGCTTTCACACTCATTTTGAAACTCCGCAGCAATGGCTTAGTACATAAAGCACACCAATCAATCTTCATATTTGAAGCGTCTTAAACGTTTTGATTTGGTAACCTGGTAAATTCACACCGCTTACATGGGGAATGTGGCTTAAATATTATTATGTGAAGCAGCACCCAGTGAATGAGATACATCCTAAAGATGAACACTTAGTTGCGTCAACTATTACATCACAAAAATTGAACTGAATGAATCGCCCTTAATGGTTGTTGTTATATATATGACCTGTTAGTTCGTTATTGGGGACAATAAATTTCGGTTACGGTATTTGTAGTTAAAAATGATTGTTTCTATCCAATCAGTCAGTTACAAAGTAGGACCAGACACATGTGCATCGGTCCAAGTTGCCACACCTCATAAGCACAGCAAGATGAACACCAAATCCACAGAAGCAACTAACTCAATGGTGTAATAAATAAAGGGAAGATTGCATATAAGGATATAGTACAGGAAGAAAGAATTAGTTCGTAGAAAGAAAGATATGAAGTAATTTTAGTTTCATAGGTAAAGGGAAGACAAAGAGTGCATACACCTACGCCATTGTGATCGATTCTGAGCCATGTCACCCAGAGTCTCCAACCATTGGTTACGAAAGACACGCGGACCCCAACCAAGTGGTCTGCATCTACCAACATGGCTAAGACT